CCATCCTCTACTTTCTCTTCAGTCTCTTCCAAAAAATCCTCCATCTTCTTCCTGTCTGCTTTCTTCTTCTGGTAAAGCTCTTCATAAAATCTTCTCATCACCTCCCACACCTCCTCTGGCTTTTCCACCTGTGCACCCCCTTCTTCCCACATTGCTTTAAGCTCCCCTTTTGCCACCTTCACTTTGGCCAAAAAGCATCAGGACCACTCTTCGTTTTCTCCCACCCAGGGGCTTGTCATAAGAACATTTTCTCGCTCGTATTCCTTTTAAACCAAGTTTCTAACTCTTGCCTTGTTTCTTGGAGCTCTTCTCATCCTTGTCTTCCTTCTGCTGTTTCCTTTAGCAGCTCCAGCATCTTTGCAACTCTCCTAGCTGTTTCATTCTTTTCCCTGTGCATCTTCAGCCTTGCTTCCTGAAGAATTTTCCTGTTCTCTTCTTCACCATCATCCACCATTCTCTGGTACTCCCAAAATATTTCTTCAGCATTCACCACCCTACATACTGTCTTGTGCATGCTTGACATACCTCTTCATCTACATCTGCAACTGCATATTTAACTTCCACAGTCCCTTCCCTCTCATAGCGCTCTTACCAAAACTCATTTCTACTTTCAGCATCCAGTGATCACTAAAAGCAACATGTATGGTTTCTTTCTTCCTTATGCCTATTTCTTTTGATGCAAACACAAAGTCAGTTCTTGATTGTTTCTTTCCACTGAGGTCTGTTCTAGTGAAAACTTTCTACCCTGTCTACACATCTCTTAGCAATTCCTCTTTTATTATATTTATTTACAGTCTGGATGAGCTGTCTAAAGCTCCATTTCCTCCTTCCCTTCTTCTGTCCCCCCTTCTACAACTGAAGTCTCCTGCTATTGTGCACAGTCTCCCTCCGACCATGTAAAACACTTTCTAAGCAGCACATTCCTTCCCTCCCTCTCCTGAGGTGCATATACATTAAAAATTTCTAATTCTCTTCCCCCAACTGATAATATCATTCATTACAATCTGCCACTGATGACTTCTTCTACCTTCTTTGTTTTCAGCTCTGAGTTCTTGAATAATATTACTACCCCTGCTGCTTTGTTCTCATTTGTCCCTGACCACCAAGTTGATTCTTAACTCCACCTTTCTCAAGGTTTTTGGTAGACCTTTTCTCAAAACGTTTATAATCCCTCTCCCTTGGTATACAACATTCTTGTAGGCAGATTGTCTGCCCTTACTTGCTTCAGTCTGTTCCCATCTTTCCTTGTTAAGATGCTCTTGACATTAAATGAAACTATTGTCAATGCCATTTATGCATGTTTTAAAATAAGTGTGCCTGTCCCTTGAAGGTTCCTCCATGCTTGCTTTGAACTGAGTGCACCTGTCTCTTTTAGGTTCTTCTATGTCACTGCTCAGGTTGGTCATCTCCTACCCCTCCCTCACTTGCATTCCTGTAGCCCTTGCAAGCTGCTGGATTGCTTTCACATTTAGGAAGGTTTGCATATTCCTGCCTCCCCTCTGGTGCCCACCTTCTGGGGCTCATGTACATGCCATGATTTTTGCCCTTTCACGTGCTGCAACTGCATGTCTGTTTGCATGAGCAGGATTTCCCAACACTTTTAAAGTCTTTCTTGTGCATTCAACTAAAACTGCCATTGTTTTAAGCTTTGGGTGTCCCTCCTCCACTCCTTACATCCCAAACCTATGTTTATCTCTCTGTAGAAGGTGCCATCCTGCCCTACTTTCTATTATATTCTTTCTGGCACCAGATTGCGAGGTAGGGAGAACATCTGATCACTGGGTGCATGTGGATAAAAAGACATGCTCTCAGATATTCTGCTAGGGACTTAGTGTATGTATGTACCTTCAATTAATCAAGGGAGGATGGATTAAAATCAGTGTCACATTACAGTGTTCCTCCATACTAAACCAAGAGGGAAAGAAACCATGGTACATACTGTGTTTATTATTTCATTTTTATTCCTTTTTTTGGTTATGTTAGGAAGCAGCATGGGGAGAGTGAACTATTAGCACTACTTGTTTGTTTTCTTTGATAAATAGTCATTAAATTATTATAGTTAAATAATTAATTCTGAACATGCATTACATTGCATTCCTTTTTTGAAACAAAACTGAAGTCATGCCAAAGAAAAAAGCAGTAGCAAACACTTGGCAGTTTTTCTCCCCAGCTCTGTGCATAGAATTGTACAATATGCAGCCCAAATCAAACAACTGGAGCCAAAATGTGTCCATCTTTCATTCTGTACTAACTACAGTAGGAAATTATATTAATTCTACTTGATCCAATTCATCAGTGCCAATAATGCATCATGCTGTACTATTTATAAAAATGTTATGCTGTGCTTTTGATAAAACATGTAACTGCCCTTCCTTTGGATTCATGCTTTTTCCTCTGTGGCTAGCTGAGGTTAATGCTGTACCAAGAATCAGCAGTTAGACATTTCCTGTATTTTGTTTTCACTGTATAAATTAAATCATGGTGCTATCCAGAAGCTAATCTTTGATCGCTAGTCCTTGCTGAAGTTTTATTTTGATTGGTTGGTATGGTCTTGGATAATTCATGATCAAAACAGTTGTCAGGTTCTTGCTAATGATTAAACATCTGAATCTAACTCCTCTGAAAGCAGAGGTGTCTGTAGATGCAGCAGGAAGTCATTGTGCCCGTAACATACCCAGGCCATACTCTTCTGCAGTCTCTACAACTATACCGTAAGATCTACATAATGGCTATCCAAGTTGCCTCCTTAGTGTCTTCTCTTGCTTACCTGATTGCCCCCTTATATAATGCTGATTTGGGTCTGTCTTTTCCTTTGCTCCCTTCCTTAGCTGTCTTATTTGGCCCCTACCTTTTTTGGGGTTCTCCATCACTGATGGGTTTCCCTCCTCCCTCATACTGAGGCAAATCCAAGTACCACATGGTACTGATACCAAATAAATCAGACAAATGGGGCTTTCCATTAAATCCATCTAGCCTGCCTTGTGTTTGTATGCAGTGTAACATGCAGGTGTTGTACCTGTCATGGTCCAGACATTATGCAAGGCAAGGATTTCTTAGGGACCAACTATTTGGTCCAGTAAAAGATATCACCATAAGACATTCTTGTCTCTCACATATTAACTAAAGAAAATATGTAGGTAATAATCAGACAAAGACAGCTATAGAAAAACTGCCAGCAGTACCTAGATCAGTGTAACTGTCAGCATAACCACCAAAGATCAGCATAACTGACTTTAATTAGATCAAGACGTTTATCCCTCTTCTATAATCATTTAATAATTAGGGTTACCTAATCTAACATGGGCTCCATCCTATAGTTCTTACATGGCCAAACTAAACTGCTCTATAAAAATAACAGGAGTCTTTGGGCCTCTCTAGAGCTAATTAAAGTCAGGGTATTTTTCCATTGGGTTCAGTGGGGTTTAGATGAGGCCTTTTTGGCAACTGGATTGAAGCTACCAGCTGTGTGTGCTCTATAATTTTTTGCTCCGTCTTTTGTCCAGAGTTCCTTAACATTCCTTCTTCCTTTTGCTCTTTCCAACAGTTTAAACAACATGTATCATTCTAGCTTCATTTTTATTTGTAATTAAGAATATTTTAATGTGAAAACTTGATTGTCCTTTGGCATGTTCTGTGTTGAAGATATTGTCTGCTTAAATTCTGTCTCACCAAGGGTTTCTTCCTCTTCGCTGCTTTTCCTTGGTCTTAAGACTGAGAAGAAGGTGTGTTGCAAAAGCTGACCCATTAATGTTTGTTTTCAGGGACTTGCACAAGGTAGAATAGGATTGTACTACATACCAATTAGGCATCTAAAAGATTAAATGGAATTTGAACAATTTTTCTCATTTTATGTGAAATGAAAGCCAGTTTTGGGAGAAGCTGATTTTTATTAAATTTGAAGGATCTGTATCTCTTATATAGTCTCTATGTCTTTATGTGCATTGTAAAGTACACTGGATGCCTAGATAAGCGAGGTCTAGCTATATACAGCCTCATCTGTCTGTGTCAGTATTTGCATGATTACCCATCACACAAATAACTAAACACCTTTCACATATAGCATGAACCCTAATTTGGGGTCAAACCATGAAATTTCCAATTTATGAGCCCAATTCCGAATGAGTCCTGAGGGCCAATGGATGCCTTGCATCATTGGAGTCGATCAGAAGGATGGTGCTCATCATCACCTCCTTGTTTTGTATCGCCAAATCCAAAACTGATAGAACAGGATTCTGGAGGATTTTTCTCACCGTCAGAAGGAACATATGTGACCTAGAAATATTTTGAGGAGAAAATGGTTCAAGCAAAATAAGCTTGATCAAGTGTTCTTTAGAGAACATGAAAGTCCTTAGTATCCAAAACAGCTCTTCCAACTATTCCCCCATCATCACATACAAGTGAAGGTTGAGAGCCATGTTTAACATGCTTTCCGCTATAACACATTATTCTTAATCTCAGGTCTTACACAACATACCTGTAGATAACTCATTAGATAAACCTCATAATTAGCCATTAGAAAAATATTCTTTTCGCTGTAGCTCTAGTGACGACATGGAAATCCTGCATGGCAGCTGACAATAAACTCTGTAGCATGCTGTATGAAGAATAGATGGCCCTTAATACAGACAGTTCTATAACAGCCAAAGTTTTAGTTGGTCATATCTGGTGCACTTCAAGATGTGTTCTTTTCCATATTTCAATAATGTTATTTTAATGTATTCTGCTTTGATACTTTTATTTTGCTTACCTCAAACATCTTGTTTAAATATTAAGCAGTAAAAGCTTTCTTTTAAAATCCATATTACATCAAGATGAAAGTTGGTTTTATAGTCTCTGATGCTTTATTTCACACTTAACACACAAAATGTTTTCCATCATGTGGACTTGCAGATAACCATGCTAACAAAGCAAGTAGTTTGCTTTATAGTTCTAAAGCTTTAGCCTCATAATTGTCCATAATGGCTACGAATAACACCAAAAATTGCTTATATAATTTTCAGGGACCAAGAGGTCTTGATGGTCCTCCAGGAGAGCCAGGGACACAAGGTATTAAGGTAATTATTCACTTGCTTTACTCAGTGCTCCAGAGGCTGCTTGTATATCATGGGGCGTCAACCGACAGTAAAACAAAGCACAAGGAGACACCATGGGACACTTCTGAGTTTCCTATGATTCCAGTGAGGCACCCTACATTTTTTACTTCTTTCAGATGTTTTTTGTTTCCATGGTACATGGACATCATAGTCTGAATTCTTTTCTCATCCATTTTGGAGATAACCTATAAATGGAGTTACTCTGCATTTCCTCATCTTAAACGGAGTTACTCTGCATTTCTGACAGCATAAGTGATGATAACAGAATTTGGGAAATAGCTTTTTCCTGCATGTGTAATTTTTTCTGTGCATTTGGCTGCAAATTTATATTGAAATGAAAAATTGTATTGAACTAACTTGTTCTTATTTTTTTTTTATCAGGGAGAAAGAGGTGATCCAGGGAAAAAGGGCATTCATGGACTTATTGTAAGTATCAGAGCTGTTCTTTGTATAAGGTTTTAATCTACAGCACTGATTGTTGCTTGACATTGATTTGTAATTTATCTGTAATCTTTATTCTCTTTCAATCGTTTTATTTAACCAGGGCAAAGCTGGAAACCCTGGAGAACGAGGAAATCAGGGAGTACCAGTAAGTAGTGAAATCCTATAACCTCTAAAAACAAGCAAACAAATAAAAACCTTGCCTCAGAAGGCAATTATTGTCTTAATATCAGCTGTTGACCTCTGACCATTACAGTTTGCATTTAGGATCCATAAAGCCTTTCATCTGTGGATCCTGAGGAGTTATTAGAAACACCAATTTTTGAAGCAATGAAATTCCTCTGGATCATTGCACCCACTATTTAAGAATCTGTGACAGTCAGAGTGACTTGCTCAAGGTCAAACAAAGAATCAGGGGCACGTATGGGGAGGAAGGTGAACTACCATGTTCACTTGAATCCAAAACAAGTCCCCCTCTACCGTTTAATGAAGGGGAAAAGGCCCCTCATCTTGGATTGAATTACAAGACAGTGGAAGAGGGCAGGGGCTGATGGCTGCTGTAGTTCCAACTCCAGCCCCAACCTGGGGTCAGAGTTTGGGTCAGAGCTGCAGCCACTGCCTGCCCCATCTCCCGCTCTCTGATGGCCTCAGCCCTGCCCCCTGCCACCTCTGTTTGGCTTCCAGCTCCAATTCTGGCAGAGCTGCAGCCCTGTACCAGCCCAGAGCATGGAGCACATGGTTGCTCTGGCCCCAACTAGGTCTGGTAGCAGAGACAGCGGTAGCAGCAGCTCTGGCTCTGGCTCAGGCTCCGGCTCAGGCTCAGGCTCCAAGGCCCAGCCAGAAGAGCCACTGCTGCAAAAGCTGCTGCATGGGGGCAGGCATGGAGGGGAGAACGGGAAGGAGGGACAGGTGTCAGGGAAGGGGCGGACAGGTGCTGGCATGTGTAGGCATGGGGAGGCAGGTGGGGGCAAGTGGTGTGGAGGACAAGGTAGCAGGGGACAAGGTGTGAGGGAATAAGAGACAGTGTCCCCCCATTCCCCCCTGCCTGTGCTTTCCCCACTGTGGCAGGTGAGGGAACAAATTTAAGATGGCCCTCCAATAATTAGATTTTACATATGGAAAACTATAAAAATGTACAGGTTTCCCTTGCTTCATGTGCATTCTGTATGTGTGAATTTGCTCTTATGCAATGACCCTTTTTATACCAAAAATTCGTTAAATGCGAGGTAAATTCACTTTCATGAAGTCGGTGTGGTGGAAACCTGCAGTTAGCTGCTTTGTGCGGTGCATTATGGGAGTGAAGTGCACCAAAATATAGTCTCCTGTGTGTATCTGTGCTCCTCACTCATCTGCAACACGTGTTCTGTAGTTGCCATCCCCATTATGGCTTCTAAGCATCCTGCTAGCTTATCTCCTACCCACCTCCCTGGTCCATCAGTGAAGTCTTCACTACCTTCTCTTCACACCAACTAAACATTCACCACCACCCTGTGCTTGTGTGTTCTGTCTGCTGTTGGCGAATACCAAAGTTGTCTTATAAAAGTCGTAGAAATGGGTCTCAGGGTCAGTACAGTCGAGATCATGGAATGTATCCCTATTTGTTACATTGCAAAGTGGGTTCTCTTTATGCAAATTATAGTTATGTGCCATTTTCTAGGAACACATGTACAGCATAAAGTGAAGGAAACCTGTATATATTTTCCATATACATAATCCATTTAGTGGGAGGTCATCTTAAATTGAAAGTTACCTTGGATTTAGGTAAATATGATAATCGACAAGAAGAACAGCAGAAGCCAAAGGACTGAAGCACTTATATTAGTAGTACAGCGTTCTGAGACCAACAGTGTTGGTTGTTTTTCAAAATGAGCCACTTGACAGCTTTTCCTATTCCCTAGAATTTATGCGTTTCTTGTACCTTGTCAGTTATTCCATTTCTTGTACCTTGTCAGTTATTCCACAGAAGGACATGGATATCACTTTTACTACATTCAGAGGCAGATCCAGGAAGTGCGGGAGCAGTGGCTGGAACTGCAGGGGTAACTGTACCCCCTGCATCCAGCCCCCCACGCACTGGGGCAGGCAGACCATGCTGCAGGAGCAGTATCCAGGGATTTCTTTTAAGTTCCTCAATCAGGAAACATACTCAGCAACACATCCCCTCCCCTCCGTTCCTCCCACTTCCCTGCCCACCACTGCCACTGTCCCCCCTGGCCCCAGCTGACCCAGGGACCAGGTGAAATAAGGTTCTAGGACCACTCATGTCGCACTCCATCCAAGTTACACATGGAGCTAGACTCAGCCAGAGACAGCAGTGGCAGCAGAGATAGGTTATCTTACCCTGCACCTACTCCTGGGCTGGTAGGGAACACCAGTGGGGACTGGGCAGGGAGAGTGAACCTAACCACTGCTGCTGCTGTCCCCAGCTGAGTCTGGCTCCATGTGGAGCTCTGCCAGAGTAGGCAAGAGCAGTTCTGGAGCCCTCCCCTCCCACCCTGCCCTTGCCCCCACTCCCACCCTTGGGGCAGGTATAGACAATGGCATTGGTGGATGGAGGAGGAGAAGGGGACAGGGGAGGGGAGATTAGGTAGAGAAAGGAAGTGCCTGGGGGGGCAGAATTTTTACTCAGTTTGGGGACTTAACAAAAATCCCTAGCTGCTGCTCCTGCAGTGTCAGCTGAAAGGCAGGGAGGGTTTCTGTGCTACTGCACCCACCCAGATCTGCCCCTCCATACATTTGGAGGAAATATGAAACCACAGTGATGGCTGATAAGTGGACAGGAGATCCAGAGCATACCCAGGAGAGTTGTCATCCTTCAAAGGAGGATGAAAGGAGAAAGAATGGCAAAGACAATGCATTGTCTTGCTTCTCTCCAGCTGTCTTCTCTTGAGACATATTAGTTTCAATAAAATAAATATATTACTCATAATTACCCACAGATACTCTTTTTTGTTGTTGTTTTTTTTAACATGAGATGTGAAAGTGAGGGGCCTGACCACTTCTGGTCATGAGACACCTCTTATCGTGGGGTATAAATTGTCCCTTCATTTTCAATTGTACCTAGTGTCCTTCATCACTTCCTAGTCTGTGATGTTGCAGTGGAATTGTGTGTTTTCAAGCAACTGCAGTGATTCAAGCCAGAGGTCACTTCAGTGCCAAATACCTCTCTACATATAGACTGTGTTCCAGTATATGTGTGGAGGTCTTGGGATTCCATTGGAATGAAAGCTGCTATATCAGTAAGATGAAATTCTCTTGATCTTCCAGTTTTACTTCTCACTGATAGTCATTAGTTCCATTGCACTGGGAAACTCCACTGCTGATGTATTCTTCTGCATCTTACTGCTGACTCTGCACAGTAGGCTGACCTAAGTGTTCCATACAGCTGCACCAAACTCACATCTCTGGATCAGACCCAATGTGCATATTGAGTATTTCACTCTGTTTACCTTGGCTGAGTTCAGTCTATTTGATACCTGCATAAATGACTTGGATAACAACGCCAGAAAGGTTTGTGAGTGACAAATCGCTATATAAATATGCCCACTGAATGCATTGTACTCCAGCACTTAGCAGTATAACTAAGAAAGTTCCCTGAATAACACTAAGGAGCTTTTTTCTCATTCATGCACTCCACAAGCTAGACAGCAGGGCAGGGGTGTTTCCTGCTCCTGCTACCTCCTTGAGCTGTGTATGAGCTGTGACTGATTTCACATAAAGATTCAAGGCTATTTAACCCTTTTCTTGCTAGCTGGTCACCATTACCCTTGAACTTTTCAATCTGTTGCAGTAATATACTACCTCTGGAATGTGTGATAGCAAAATAAATACGATAGTAAAATGGATGATAATAAAATGATTAGCTAAAAGTAATTATTCACATCAACTATTAAGACACATATCTGTGATACAATTTTCAAATAGGATCATTAGAATTTAAAAATACAGGGTCCTCTTGGTTGTTTTTTATATTTTATTTCTTTTGAAGATGGTTGAGTTTCATGCTCTTTATGTAGCTGTTAAAGTGCAACATTTTTGTTTCATAGTGCAGTTCAGAGCTCTTCAGTGCATTTCTTGCCAATTCCTGGTATTTATACAAGTAGGAGCATATGGAACAATCTTTGTAGATTGATAGTATGGTGTGTGTAGTTATAGCATATTATGAAATAATGCTCTTAGACATCTATACTTCTCCTTGATTGTGAGACAGTATAACTGGTAGGGCTAGGCTGAGCAAATTGTGTGTGTGTAGTGTGAAACTCACTGGATTAATTCCAAAGACTTTGTGGTTAAGCCCAGTTACCCTCTGTGTGTATGAATTTAAGGAGATTTATAAGTAAATGAAACCAGTGAGTGGTAAATTAGCATGACACCCTCTTCCCCCATGTTAAGAAGAACAGGCAGATATTAGCTAGAGCTTGAACATTAGTCGCAAGAGCTAATGGGGCAAAACTGCTCACATAGGTGAAGGGATAACACTTTTTAGAAGGGTTTACATAGGTAAGTTGTTAGATGTTCCAAAGTGGAAAGGAAACAGCCTTTTATACAATATGAAGCAGCTTCTTTATTGATCTTGGTTTGGATTGTTTTCAGGGTTTGCCTGGGCCCCCTGGAAGCCTAGGAGACAGAGGTCCTGTGGGAGAGCCAGTAAGTTGATCTCCATCCTTTCCTAATAAAGATTTTCACATATTGTACTTAATACTTGGTAACTTGGGTTCCACTAGACCAAGGTTTGAAATTTTCAGTGTTTAAGTTCACATCCTTTAAAAACTATATCTAAACTACGCTGGGTCAGATTCTGCAACATAGGGGGCACATCTGTCCAAAACACTTAACTCCTCAGTAGTGTAGTTTACTACAAAGTAAGCATATGTGTCTATGTGTGCACACGCTTACTGTGCAGTAAACCTCAATAATCAGGAGTAAATTTTCTACCTGAAAATGCAAGCAGTAAATTTACTTTCGCTTAGTAACAGTGCAGTAGCACTCATGTAGATAACTGATTGGGAGCAAAACTGCTCCCGGTCAGCTATCCGCCAGGGAGCAGGAGATTTCTCCCTGCCCCCAGAAGCTGCCTGCTGCTGGGATAGGCTCTGCCACCAGAGCCCAGGTCCCCCCTGGCCCAGCCAGCAGCAAGGAGCTCCAAGCCCCCTTCTCTGGGATAGCAATTGAGGAGTGAGGGGGTGGGGGGAGAATGGGAGATCCTTATCTCCCAGCACCAGCTCCACAGCCATAGAACTGGGAGATAAGGGTCTCCCAGCACTGGCCCCACTGTCACAGAGCTGGCACTGGGACATAAAGGTCTCCTAGCTCCAGCCCTGCAGTGCGGAGCTCGCATTAGGAGCTGGAGGGGGCTGGGGAGCTTGTTCCTTGCTCAGCTTCACGAGCTCAGAGCTGGGTGGGGAACAAGTTGGGAAGCTCCCCCTTTGCAAATTCCCCACCTCTTTCCCTACCCAACTTTAGGCTGTGGAGCTGATCAGGGAACAAACTCCCCTGACTATTCCCCACCCAGCTCCACATTTGCAGAGCTGAGTAGAGAACAAGCTGGGGAGCTCCCCAGCACCATGCTGCAGAGCTGTGTGGGGAACAAGCTCCTGAGGCTGTTCACTGCTCAGCTCCACGCTTGCAGAACAGAGTGGGGAACAAGCTCCCCAGCCTCTGCCCCACATGCAGGGCAGGGGCTGGGAACTGTCCTAGTTAGGGGCAGGTCCCAGTCCCATGCCCCAAATACATCATGCTGAAATACCACTCCTGGGAGTAAGAAATCTAATAAATTGAGGCATGGGGCTTGGAAAGAGCTGCAAAGATGTAGAGGTTCCAGCCGCCTGTCCCGATCTGCCAGTGGGCTAGCTAGCAGCAAGCTAGGTGCTAGCTGCCCAACCAGTGTATTGGGGCAGGAGGCTGGGACTTGCCCCTCTCCTACACTTCTTTCCAAGTCCCCTGCCCCTGATCGGGGAGCCAGGGCCAGGAGCTCCCTGCTTCCAGGGTGTTACATCCCAGCCTTGGGCAGGAGACAGCTGTCACCTGGCTCGGTGCTCCCTTCCAGTCCCTGGTCTAGCACCCAGGGGGAGCCTAGAGCTCCCTCTAGTGGCAGCAGGGGCCCACTGCAGGGCCCTAGGAAGCAGGAGCAGTTTGCTGCCATTAGCAGAAATTCCACTCCCACTTCCCTGCATGAGTAGATGCCTGCCTGGGAGCATTTGCTTGCAAGCAGTTTACTTGTGAGTAAACTGATCCCAGATCAAATGCATGTGTAGACATGCCCAGTAAGTATTGTACACTTACAGGAGGATTCTCCCCAGTCTCCATGGGATAGCACTAGTAATAACCAGAAAAAGTATGAAAAAGAGTAGCCAAATCTGACTTCACACTGCATAGAGACCGGCATGGGTATATTATGTAAATACAATCTTAGACATGGATATTAGTGGCTTCCCTGTTATTTTCAAGCAAGGTTTATGGTACTTATTCTGGAATTTTGGAAACAGACAGACTTGGCATGTTCCTGCTCTAACAAAAAGGCAACTGTTATAATAAACCTCAGACATTCTTTCGCTGTATAGCTTGCTGTTCTGATTTTTATTATTGAAAAGCTACACACGCTTTAATGTGGCTAATACTGGAAATACTGGAACAAAAGCCCATATACAGTTTAAGACCATGAACAATGAGCTGAAAGGTGTAAACCTGACAAGAATGCCATTACATCATCACCTTTACTGCCAAGGCCCAAGTACATAAATATAATGGAGTAGTGTGTGCTTTCATGGTGGTACACGTTATAAAGACTGCCATTTTACCTGTCAAGTAAACTTTTGTTCCTTACTTTTTATTACATATGAAAAGCTATTTCTCATAGTAAATGATGTAAAATAATATCAACATGCTTTTTAAAACTTTATACTGCAATGTATTCTTTCATGTACTAGGCTGATGCTTCTGAATCCATAAGCTAATATGGATTCATAAAGGTGGTCTCTGGAAAATTCTTTTGGCCAGAAAAGTAGGAAAATTCCAATTGCTTGCTTCCTGCAAGCAATGAGGAGATAGTTGGCTGATAAAAGCAAACTTTTTTATCATTGTACAGAAAATTTCCACTAAAAATTATGTATTATTTTCTTGGATTTCCTTTACTGTCTGTTTTATAGATCATCTCTATTCTGTCTAACTTGCCAGCCTAGTCATTTTATATCCTGCTCCATACTGTAGCATTTAAGAGACTTAGAGGTTTTAAAGTTTATAAGTATATACATCTTGCTACTACATTGCTTGTTTAACCTGATTTTCTTATTTATAAAGGGACTGGAATGTTGTTTTAGCTGTGATAGTCTAGGAAATGTCCTGAAGGCAAGTGTCTTTTTGTGATAACTTTTATTGGATCAATGATATAAGCAGGAGAGAAGTTAGGCAAGCTTATGGGCACAAACTGTCCTTCCCCATGTGAGATCTGTTTCTTTGGGAGACCTGAAGAAGGGCAGTTTGTGCCCAAAAGCTTGTCTAGCTTCTCTCCCAACTATACAATTGGTCAAATAAAAGATATCTCAAAACCTCCTCACCTTATTACTTACTTATACTTATTACTTAACTGTCTACTTTAATTAATCTACATTTCTATTGTGCTTAGCATTGTAGCATCCATGAATGAAATGCAGAAATTAAGAAAAGTATCACTTGTTCACAGGAATTGATGATTTTTCTTTCCATGTTACACAGAGTCAAATTATTTTTGTATGTATAGCTCTAAAGAGGAAATATAGTATAACACAAAGCATTGTGAAATAAAATGGTTTTATTTCTCCAATGGATTTATCCAACAGCCTACTTTCTTTTTCAGTCAATTGGTTATTACATGGAAGAAGGCTGTGAAGGTAGTTTCTATTGCCTTGTCACTGGGTTCTACTGTAAAAATGCAAGGAAATACTATTAGGGAAAAAGACTTAAACTATTAGATTTGCTTAGCAGAATCAGGCCTAATGTAAAGCAAATGATTAATTTTACTTACACGTCAGGCCTTTTCAGCAAACTCTGTTTTGATTACACTTGAAAGAGGTCCCCATATTATTCAACATGTTCTTACATTTTTTTGGCTTCTGGTGTTCCATGTAAGTCACGAGGGAGTGGTATATTGCCAAGCCATCAGTCTGAGCTCCGTGGGAATAATGTGGAGAAATATTTGGCTCCTGCATCAGACTTGAGCTTTGGGACAGCAAAGTAGTGAAGTCCTTGTAGGTACTACAAGCCAAAACCAAGACGATTATGTTTTGGCCTGGATAGAACCCATAATAGTACATTCGTTGTGGTTTTCAGTGTTTGCTTGTTCTTAACTGAAACTGTTAATCAAGTCAGAGATGCACCTGTTGAACTTTGTCCAGCACTAGCCATATGACTCTGGTGCTGGAAGAGAATAAAAGACTGCTGTTATTAACATTAGCAAGTCACCAGGAACAACAACCCTATGCGTGTAATCCATGTACTGACAGATCAAAGGGAAAGCTAGATAATGGCTTGAAAGGCTTATAGTACAAACACAGAAACAGTACTTTTACATTGTATCAGAACAGCACAGCACCAGAAATAATTGTTTCCTTTAACAGTGAAGAATCTGTTTAAAACAGAAATGTGTCCAGTCCATACTCCATTGATGTCCGGATTTGGGTCTGAACCTTCCCAAGGTGTGGGGATGAGTATGTCTAGGACATGGGTGGCCAACCCACAGTACAGATGCCACAAGTGGAGCTGGCAACCTCTGGGTATAGGTCAGGGAGGGGGCATGCAGCAAAGTGGCAAATAGGACAGGAAGTAGATCAGAGCAACAGACTAGGCAGGGAGGAGACAGCGAAGTAGCAGATTTGGTGGGGAAAAGGGATTGAAATGTCACTTAGGGAGGGTGTGGGGTTTAATTTGCTGTATGCTTGCTAAAAAGCTTGGTCCCACTGGCCTAGGAGTTTGATTTGTCCTGTTGCAAAATTTAGGACCAGGTGCGAAATTATTAGAGGTAAGGTCCAAGAGATGGCCACACGCATCCCACTTCCTTAGAGGACATGGATAACCTCAATTTACATGAAATCCATACACGCTGGTTTAGAAATGGATCCCTGAGGTGTTGCTGTGATAAGTTTATTGCTTACCATATACTGGCCTGCAAGAACACTGCTGCTTAGTATGGTTTCTTACTGATTTTGCCAGAAGGCTCCAATCTGCAATCCATTACACCTCAGTGACCATCCTGTGTAAACACTGTTAAATCCATAAAGTGAAATATACAGTAGTTTTCAGTTAAGTCTGTACCAGACTATAGGTTTTTCCATAAAGCAAACCTGACATAGAGCCAGCTAAGTCTTAATTAAACAAACTCTTGATTAATCAAGAGAAGAATATTGTGTAAATAAGAACTTTGACTTCTAGTCCAAATGAAGATAGGTCAGTTCTGTCCTTTTAAAATCTATTGCTAGACTATATCTAGAAAGTCAGTTATATCTTCAGCGCTGTTAAGCACTTGTCCTTGTAGGTACTAACTGCTGTCAAAGAATTTAGAAAGAAAAACAGTGATAAAGCAAAATAATATCTGCTTCTTTCTACCAGCTGTCAGAGTGGTGCAGTGATACAATATATACTTTATCATATTATATTGCACACCTATCATATGTAGGTTGCATCATACATGCATTACATAAAATTACTGAATTATATACCCAGAATTTTGTTTAATGCCAGGGCTCGAGAGGACAACAAGGTGATGCTGGCCCAGCTGGGGAAATGGGATTTGAGGTGAGTTGTTAAGCATTATCATTTATCAATAATGACATTTTTATTTCTTTTTATTTATTGTTTTATTTGTTGCTTATAATTTGTATTATTTATCAATAATAATGAATTAACTAACCAAAACAATCTACAGTTTATACCAAAACTCTCTTTGTATTACCTCCAATAGACTTGAATAGCACATGTAATTAAAAGAGTTTGTCATTGCTTCTGCCTGTTGTAAGAAAATTTCGAAAGAGAAAGCTTATTAGATTGCCTGTGGATCCTTCATATCATGGTATCTGCTTCTGAGAGGACAATGATGTATTAGCTGAATCCAGCACTTCCAGAATATATACCCTTCCCTTTGCTGTTTTGCAACCTCCCACAGCAGGCCAGAGCTGAGGGGATTGTAACTGGGCTGAGGAGTGAACTCGCTCAGAACACATAAGAAACGTTTAGTCAAAGAAATGAAGTTCCATTATCCCGCATAACTAAGAACATAAGTGCCATACTGGGTCGGATCAATGATCCATTTACCCCAGTATTCTGTCTTCAACAGTGGAAGAAATAGATGCTATGGAGGTAGAGCATCAAACCTGATATCTATCCATAGGTGGGGGAAGGCTGGGGCTAAAGGGGTTCAGTCCCCCTCAAACACAGGTCAGCAGGTAGGGCCACAAGGCAGCCCAGCTACAGGCTCCAGATAGCTGCAGCAGGGGTGGGAAGGAGCATGCACACAGCCAGGATCACAGCCTGGTGTCTGAATTGCTAGCAGCACGGCAGGCCCCAGACAGCTGCAGCAGGGGTGGGAAGGAGCATGCACACAGCCAGGATCACAGCCTGGTGTCTGAATTGCTAGCAGCATGGCAGGCAAATACCAGTCTACTCTGAAGGGGTTTGGGGGCACAGATCAAGGCCCCCACATTGAGGGAGGGAGTGGGGCAAAGGCAGGGGCAGGGGCTGGGGTGAATGGAGCCCCAGCCAGGCTGGATTGTGGGACAGTCAGAGCCTGGGTGCCTTATCCAGGGACACAGGAGGGCTCCCGCCACTGTACATACCCTGGTGGAGGCCCAGGGGGCACATGCCCCCCAGTCTGTGTGCAGGGCAGAGGTGGCTGCCACTGTGCAATGGACTTTGTTCCCTGCTGCAGCTGCCCCAGGAGTGGCATGATGCCACGTGCCTGCCACCACTGGGCTGCATAGTGTCCCCTGCCTGCCCAACAGCAGGACACACATGGCATTGCGCCATTTCTGGGGCAGCTGCAGCAGGGAGCAAAGCCCAGTGTACAGCGGCAGCCACCTCTGCCCCGCACACAGATGAGGGAGGCACATGCCTCCTGGGCCTCCACCGGGGTGCATGCAGTAGCGGGACCCACCCCTGGACAAGCTGCCTGGGCTCTGATTGTCCCACAACCCAGCTCCTGTCCCTGCCCCTGTCCCTGCCTGCCCCACTCCCTCCCTCACCACTCAGACCTCAATCTGTGCCCCCCCCCACGGCTCTTCCCCTCCCCATGCCTCTTCCCCCACAGACTTACGTGCTGGGTGTGGGGGGAGAGGGCATGTGTGCATACATGCATGCACTCAGCTCCCCCCCAAATATTTTTTCTGCCTCTGC